CTCCTTCCCCTTTTTTAGTAATCCTTCCCCTTTTTTAGTAATGCTTTTAATTGATGTTTTAAGTATGTATATATATTTATGTTTTTAATGTTTGTTGGGAGTCGCCCAGAGTTCCCCCATTGGGGGGAGATGGGTGGGTAAGAAATTTCATACATACATACATACATACATACATACCAAGGGCAAGAATCTATCAGTGACTGACTTTGCTCCTCTTGTCTTAGTTCTGTACAAGCTGTTTCTAGAATTCTGACAGATGATGGTGGTTGAAGAAGAGTCCTTCATATAACCTGTATCCACATAGTCAACCTGTCTTGTCTTGCCTTCCCTTCCCCCCATCTAAATCCTACATCATTCTAGCCATTTTGTGCATCAGAACTCACCATCTGTCTTTTAATAAAATTGGTTAGTTGGAAAAAGTGCTACCAGATTCTTCCTAATTTTTTGCCACCATAGACTAACATGGCTCTCCTCCTACAATATCATATCCAGATATTTCTTATTCCACAATCTTGCTTCTTTCTTAGAAGCTGAGAATGCCAGTTCTTCTACCTTTCTCCCCTTTCACCATAATTCCTGTTTAACCATAATTTTGCTAAAATTGCATTCAGGCATGCAGTTTTCTTGGTAAATAGCAGAAGTGGCTTCCTACTTTTTTTTCAATTTCCCAGTGTAGTCAATAGCACTGAAATTCCCTGTTAATTCCCAAGTCAAGACTAACCAGGTGGTGGTACCTGCTGAGACACTAAAATGCTTAATCTGTGATCATGTCTCCTTCTCACCATGTTTTTAATCACATACATAACTTTCATCAAATAGTGTTGCATTCCTATTTGAAAATTCCTATTTTTAATATTCTAATTTCTCATCTTTTTGAATACAGTACTCTTTTTGATTCAATTTTATTTCAATAGTTCTTAATGAAATAATCATCTTCAAGGTCCTTGAATGTAGCTTCTATGTTCCTTAGCTTTCGCGATGTCACATATTCCATTATGCCCCGAGTTCAATGCCAAGATTATGCGCATGTGGGTTTACATGTATGTAACACCCATGCATATATGTAAAACAAAACTCTGTAACAAATGCTCACTTCCATGAGCAAGAACAGCATATTACTTTGACCTACCCCAAAATGTCAGTTGTACACTGAGCAAAGCAACAGAATTTATATAACTGGTTTTCAATGTACAGTACATCTTTCTTACACAGATTGTGCAATTTATCAACACATCTGCCATTGATAAATGTAACATACATTCATTTAGAAAAGCAAAATTTGAAGAAATTTTAAGATGAATAAAGACCTTCAGGAATAAACACTGGACCTGTTGGCAAAGGGAAGGTTGGATTCACTTGTATCCTCAACAAACTCTAAATTATTTCAATTGAAGATCTTTTATGCTCAAGAAGATCTGAGTGGAAAAGATAGCAGCACTAAGAGCGCAATTATTTTTGCCCTTACCTCTCATAAGCTTTGGGATGATACAGATTTAACACTAGAAATGAAGAGGGAAGCAGCAATACACACTATTTTTTACAGCTCTAGAACAAATTCTCCCCTCTACTAAACCTAAGCAGGTCTCAATACAGAAAATCAGCAGAGTTAAATTTAATCTGAATGCCTCTGTGGAGCTTTTTAATTAATCGACGTAGCATCATCAAAGTGTCAGCTGTGATGGGGATACTGTTTAATTTGAATGAATAAAAAGGTATGTTTTTAGAGGCTTCACTACCTTCATTCATCTTGCAAACAGTGCAGTTTTGTGGATGGTTTTATGTTTGTAATCAGCCGTCACAAGACTGCAGCAGTTTAGAAGACTAATAAAGAAGTCCAGATGTGTGGTGCGCAGATATGGCACACAACAGTACTATTACAGTGCTGAAGGATTGAGGAAAATAGATCAGGCTAATCAGTTAATACCTGGGATCAGAAGGCTTAGCCTACCCCCTTCAATAGGCTAACGGAGGCCATGTTGTTTTCTCAGCCACAGTACAGAAATGGCTTGCCACTGAAATCTTCTGGGATGGTTTCAGAGTTTCCTGGTGGTCTCCCATCCAACTGAGCCCCGCTGTGCTCAAGGTCATTATAAAGAACCACAAAGGGGAGGCCTGGGCCCTCGAGATATACCACTCCAATCGCCTCCAACGAGCCCATCTTGGAGGCGGCAGTGGCTGATGGGAGCGGGAATCCGAAGGGCACCATCTTGGGAAGGCTACTTTGCAAGGTTTTGCATGGATGACAGGTAAACGTAATGATAATAATTTATGCAGCGCGACCCTCAACGACTCTGGTAAATACTGAATGGGTTGCAAAGGTTAAGTCGAATCATGTTTTGTCCCTCATGAACAGAACCGGTTCATCTTGCTCCGCCTCTCCGTACGCGACCCCCTCCCCGCTCCTCTCCTCTGAAAGCCAGCCCAAGGCCTCTCAGGGCAGAGGACACGCCACAACACCCACCTCGCCGCCATCAGCCCCTCAACCGGCCACCTCCTTCTCGCAAACCCACCTTTGTGGCCACAGGCCGGGCCTCCCCAAGGACACGCCTCCCGACTCTCCGCACTTCCGCTCCGCCTCTTCCGCCAGCCCGACGAATCTCAGTCCAATCTGGCAGACAGCTGGCCAATAGAAAAAGGGATTGGGAGGAGGGCGGGGTTAGGTCCCGTCCACCCTGAAAGCCAGGGAAAGGGTTGGGCCAAAAAAAAAAATATCCGTCAATCAATGAAAGGGAAAGCCGATTGGTTCTGCCGCATTCCGGGCTAGTGGGCGGGCCTGCGAACGGGGCGGAGAGAAGGAAGGGGCGAGGCTCGGTTGCCCGGAGATGCGGCGCTGAGGAGGGGGCGGGGCCGCCCCGCCCCGCATACGCTCTGGCTCGCTCGTGCGCAGGCGCGCGCTGAAAGCGGGCGCGCCGGGCCTTTCCGCCGGGCCGCTGCTGAGGAGAAGCGATGGGGCAAAGGGGCGGGAGGGCTGCTGTCGCCGCCGGGCCGCTGGCTTGAGGCCCTGAGGCGAAGCCAGGCTCCGTTTTCATCGCTGGGCAACGGGCCGTGCCTGCGGGGAGCCCGGCCGAGCGGCTGGCGGGGAGCGAGGAGGAAACCGCCGCCGCGTAGAGAAGGGAGGAGCCCGCCTGGGGCGTCTTCGTCTGGGCAGCGCTCGGAGCCACGGGGGAGGTGAGGAGGCGCGCCGGGCTGCCCTCGCGCGCACCCCCGGGAGGGGGGGTTGTCATGTGTTCACACGCTCGCGCACATCCGTGTCCTCGCACACTTCATTGTTCCGCCAGCCCTCTGTAGGCAGCCTGGTCACGCTTGCACACCTTCCCGGAGTGTCACGTTTACGCTCCTCGTCTGCGCAGAGAATGAATCTCTGCAGGCTCGCTCCCGCGGGCTCCTGATACGGCATTTCCACACACACGTGGAAACTGTGTGGAACAATATATAATGGATGCATTCATCCGGCCCCGCCGTGCACACAGATACAAGCAGGGCGAATTGCATGTTTGCATACGAGCGTATATTGGGGTATATGCGGGCGCTTATCCGTGGATTTAAACATATGCCCGCATCTGGAGATGCAGATACATCCGTGGGTACAGATACAATCAGTATGGATTGGAAATGTATTTATTGATTTGTTTGAATTTATTAGCCACCCAACTCCAGTGGACTCAATGGGGAAATGTACACAGTTGATGCATACGTACTTATGTTCCTGTTTTCTGTTTTCAGCTTTATTGCTGTTGTTTTATACTGTTTTATATTGTTTTATACTGTTTTATTTGTTGTAATCTGCCCTGAGTTGTTTTAAGGTGGATGGCTCTATAAATGCTTTAACTAAACAAATAAATACATATTCACCTAATGCAGATTATAAAGAAGGGAGGGAAAAAACAGGTGTGCAAGACTCTGGGATCTGGTGCTCTGGTTTGCCAAAATAAATTATCTTTAGTTGGATTTTAAAATGTACTATGCTGGCTTAAATTTTATTAGGGTGATGTATCTTTCTTTCTCTCTCCAGCTTTGGGAACCAGTTCCGGGCATCTTTGTCTTTTCAGTAGTCTTTCCTCTCTATTGATTTGTTCTGCTTTGCCCTCCCAGTACTGTGGGTGCCTGTCTGTAGGCATGACTAAATCTTCAGTGAATGCAATTTTCTCCAATTATACTCCTCTTCTCTAGAACAACATCTTTACCTTGCCTTAATTTTCTTTTGTCCTTTGACAAGTGGAACTAAAGAGAAAGTATGACGATACTATTCCCTTGGTCTGTAGTTAATGCACAGTATGGTTCCATTGGCAGACATAAGCATAACTGTTCAGCGTGAAGCTCATGCTAAGGTGCCTGTGAATCTGTACCCAGTACAACCTTGAACGTGAGCCTTTCTTGATCTTTGGAAGGATGAAGGAGGAAATGCATTTCTATGAGTAAAAGGTTTAGAAACTAGGAAAGACTGAAGCAATGTGAAGAATGGTATACTGTGCAGGAAGGAGAGCCAGAGGGAAAGAAAGTTTCACTGGAGATCACATACTGTGAATGTTAATGCCAAAAAAGTCGACAGAAGTGAAATGGTTGAGGATGTCAGACTTTGTTCAGTGTTTTGTTTTATCACAAACTGGAGTTTCTCAGAGATTGGCAGCTACTTCCTCTTTCTTTTTCAGACCAGTAATGCACAAATCACATGTGCTGCTGATAAGTAAGGAAAGAGAGGTTATCAAAAGTACTGAGTATGGACTTGGAGAAATAGCTGCTTGCCACCTCTGTATGCTTCAGTGGTTAGCTTTGTGTTTTTCTAGTACTGTAGGTTTCCTCGGGATATAGATAATTCTTTCTGACTGTATTTGCATTACTGTACTGAGTCACTTTCAAAGCAGCAAAATGATCTCTTTCAGGAGAGATTGTCTGTCGCTTCTGTCCTTGAGTTCCTACCCTGGATTTACCTTTGTTCAAAATGGAGGGGAAGGCTCCACGTAATAGAAGTTATTCTTTCATATTCCAAACCTTTTGTTGAGCTATTTTCAGTAGTATTCCTCCAAGAGTAATCTTTGTGGGCTATGCGGTGTGAATGGTTGGAGCAGGCAGTGGGTGAGGACATCTTTTCTTTTTAGATACCTCTCTTTTTTATCTTTTTCTGATAATCTTTTCCCCCCCAAATAGCATGTCAAAGGGAAAGGAAAGATAGTTCTTGCCAGAAATTATCATTACATAAGAGTTTTAAAGAAATGGTGGATTTGCTGCCTGATCCTTTTAAAAGCTCTATCTTCTTAGACAATGATTTATCATCTTTCTTCTGACTATGTTGCTCTGGTTTTTTGGGAGCTCTAGGAATATGTGGCACTTTGGATCCTAAGTCAAGATGGAACAGGTGTGGGCACCCTCAGCATCTGTCAATGCCTCCTTAAAGAAGCTGTGTGTTTCTGGGCTCCGAGGAAAATAAGCATTTGAGTTAAGAAACACCAACAGCATGCCTATACCTACTTGGAATACCCTTTTGGCTTCAGATATGAAGTGCTGGACATTCCTAGATAGCTGCTTTATTGGTTTACTCAAAGGTAGCAGAAGTGTCCTTCAAAGCTTGCTTGCAGTTTTGTGCTTATCAGCTGGGCAGAAAAATGAAATAACCTGCAAATAAAATTGTTGTTTCTGCATATTTACAGGTCTTCCCATGTTTGCAGAAAAAATGGTTAATAAATTAAAAGGGTTTTTTCAAATGTTAAAACTATTAAAATTGGAAAGGTAAACACTGTGAGGTTAATCTCAGAATGGAGGTTGGAACACTTATTTTGAGGTCATACCACTTCCAATACCTAACCCTTCAAAATAGCCTGTTTTGAAATCAGAATATTTTGACCATTAAATGTTTTGCACATCTCTAAGTGAGACTGCTTTTTCTTCTGGCTTTTTGTGTTTTCCTCACATAAGATTGGTTCCTCACATAGAACTGGTTCACACAGTTAGTTTAGCCATTATGGATTTAATAAGGCACAGTTGACTAGGATCTCACAATATGCTAAGCACAAACCAAAGAAATTATTTTATGACTTAGGATGACTTAAACCAAGTTATTGGGATTAAGGATTTGGGTTCAGGGTTGGCTAACACTATGTCCTACAGTTAAAGGACTGTTCCAGTAGAATGGGAAGGCAAAGAAAAGGTGATGATTCTTACCCTGTTCTAAAATGCATATACAAGATCCAAGCAGTGTCACAAGGCTCCTATACGAAGCTCTAAGTGGAAATATTTCTATTTGAGGCTGCAGATACCTCCTAACATTTTCTTGTGGATTATTACTTTTCTGTATTCTAACAGCAAACTTACTGGTCCTCTACCTTTTAGTAAAATAATTAAATAAAACACAGCTGTCCAGTAGATTCCTGGTTACCTCACATATGAGGGTGAATATTTGTGGATTCAAGCACAAAAATATCTCATAAATGCAGAATTTCCCTCCATATTGGCAAGTAAAAAGATTGGGCTTTCTGTTGAGTGACTAGCAGCTGGAAGCAAACTTTTTTCCCAATTTTACAGATGGTGCTGTTTGCTACTTTGAGAAAAGTGAAATGTTGTTATAGGTAGTCTTGCTGTGAAGAGGGCTAAAATCTCTTCCACCCTTCAGGTTGGGTGTTCTGGGTCTTATTTTAGTTGAACGTGCTGTGAGGTTTCCTCTCAGTGCACTGAGACACATTTCACCTGTCTCAGAAATCTTTACGGCATTCCAGCCATTCTTCCACACATTTTGTCATAAGAAACTGGGCAGAGAACATCAACAGTTTAACTACTAAATGATAGCATGGAAACAATTGTGGAATTCTCCTGGATTGCTCTTTTGTGATAAAAATTAATTGAACTGCTTTTTTTGGGTTGGAAAACTATCTAGAAATTCCCAGACTGTTAGCTAAATTGGTAAATTTAAAAACATCCCAGGAGAACATCATGGCAACCCGTATCCAAATGCTATCAAGAAAAATGCATGGATACTCTCACCAGGAGCTGACATTATAGAAAAGAAAAAGATAGTGGTGATGTGGAGGAAATATATGGGATATGGACTCAAACGAATAATCTTATAACTAAGATCTCCAGTTGGTATTTACTTAACTTTTGACTCATATGTGTGAGGCATGGCTGCTGTTCCATGTGTACATATATGACTAAAGTCAATTGCTATTGTTAATATATTTGCTAGGACTTGTATTGAAAAAATGCTAGGACTTTCCAGTAGTAATTTAAAGAAGTAAAATGGTTACAAACCTACAGCATTTTTCCATAGGATCAGAATGGCTCAACGGTCTTGGTTCAGTATGTAAATGATCTTACAAAGTTCATAGTGTGTGCAATTTCATAGCCTGTGGAGCTGCACAGTTTTTAATTACTAGAAGGAAAAGGATGGGAATGCATCATCTTATCCCAGTCAGCATAGTATGGTGAAACTTGCTTCCGTGGCTGTCGCATGTAGCTGTTCAGCAAAGCAAAACGTGTGTCTTGAAAAACAAGGGTCTGGGGGGGAGGGGACTTTTTATGGGAGAATATAGGCAATTGTTTGGAGCAATTTATCCATAATCTGATGTAGAATAGGTTATTGTTCAAGAGACTAGTTCCTGGTCCTTCCAGATCTTTGCAGGCGTTGCATTACAGGAGACTGTAAATTAACTAAACCATAAGCCATTTGTTTGGCTTGCTCTGCAGTGTGAACACAGCCAGTTGTTGCTGGTTCAATAAGCTATGGTTAAGCAAACTTTGGACTTTTGATATCAGTTGAATAACACATTTCACTACCTTTAGCTTAATGCTCACTATTAATGGCTTTCTTCCCATCTGAAAAACAGGTCTTGAGATTAATGCCAAGTGTCATCTAAACTTTAGATTATGAAGGCTGCAGTATTCTTGCAGTTAAAACAAATGTGTGAAAATGTTAAAATTTTTATAAGAATTTACTGAGCACTTTATTCAAATTTAATATTCTAAGGGAAAATTTTGAGATGGTGAGATAAGGCATGTCTTAAGCAATTCATCATATTGGAATTTCTTACACACATGGTTACTCTGCAAATGAAACAGACAGTAAAAATGTTTCTATTTTGTGAGATGCCAGCACAGTTCCGAATACCTTTTGTGGGTTAACTGTCTGAAAGATATGAGTTCTAATCTATTTGCAGTCAGTAAGGAAATTGAAATAAGCTTGGTGGCTGAATCATATTCAGATTTGGTTTCTTGGTAAGAATTTAGAGCAGGGATTTTTTTCTACACTGGTACATTTTTTCATGGTGTAAAAAATCTTAAAACCTCTGAAATAGTGATTCCTTCATTACATGTTATAGAAACAAATGGACTGGTACCATTTCTACCATTTCCAATCATTTGGACTTCTTATGAAAGAGTCCTAATCAGCCTTGTAGATATATTTTGCTATTTAAAGCAATTTATAAGGGGAAATATGTATTCTGTGAGTACATTGTCCAACAAATTAAATAATCAAACTTAGAGCATAAAGGATGGCAATTGCAT